GTGACTGGAAACACTGAGGGCCCAAACATACTGTGTGCATGCAATGATGTGGGCATTTTTTCATACTCTAACATGCATTAACATTCTTCTTTTATATATGAAAAGGGTAGAAGAAGCTTTTTTTTTTTTTGATACAAAAAAGAACATCAAATGAAATGCACATATCTGGATAAGAAACAAAAATCATAACTAGCGTCACCTATGCATCCCAAAAACCTCATATTATAATTTCCCTACTCCCCTCATCCCTTTCCCCCCCAAATTCCCTAAAACTGCGCTACTTTCCGAATTTCTAACCTTTTTGGTCTTTGTTAGTCTATATCTGTATTCCCTTCGTGCTGTTCCCTTTTCTCTGTGGGCCATCCTTAACCCCCCCCCCCCCCCCCCCCCCCCCCACGTACTCATTTACTTCTTCCTGAGCAGTTCATGGTAGAAGTAGCATTTTTCTATTTGGGTTTATTTACACATGCGGCAAAGATTTTATTTATTTCAGGTACTTATATAGCGCCGTCAATTTACGGCGCACTTTACATATATATATGTACATTCACATCAGTCCCTAACCCTCAAGGGGTGTACAATCTAAGGTCCCTAACGTACATTCATACATACACATACTAGGGGCAATTTAGACAAGAGCCAATTAATCTACCAGCATGTCTTTGGAGTGTGGGAGGAAACCGGAGAACCTGGAGGAAACCCACGCAGACACAGGGAGAACATGCAAATTCCAGGCAGGTGGTGCCGTGGCTGGGATTCGAACCAATGACCTGAGTACTGCCAGGTGGAAGTGCTAACCATTTAGCCACCGTGCTGCCCATAAAAGATTGCTGCGCCTCTGCGTTCTGATCAATTTTCAGAGGCATTTGACAGGCAGTGTAAAGGCATTACATTGCATTCCTGCCATCTGTTTTATCCCCTAAATGCCGCAGCACCAATTGTAGCGTGATCTCATTCACTTGAATAGGTCACATGTGGTGGGGGATAGGGCCCACCAGAAAAAGAACAGGGGGTAATTCTTGCTGTGGCAGGTGTGTATGCCCCTAACTTCTACCTTTGCAGCTTTAGGAGGAGCAGTTGGGGAGTGATTAAAAACATGGCTCAACCATGTGTTTTTACTCCCCCCCCCCCCCCTTCCCTCCCCCAACCAACCAACCACAAGTATAAGGACCCATTCACACTAGGAATCATACAGGAATGTGCAACACGTTCCTGTGCAAATCACATGCAGTTCTGTGCGATGCGATTTCAGACCAATCATTCTGAATGGGCTGAAATCGCACCACACAGCACCAAGAATAGTGCACGTCCTACTTTTGAAAATGCACTGCAGTCTGATCACTCGGTAATTTTGTACCATGTGATCCGGTGCAGGCAAACACACGAAGTTTGGGATGTCGTTGACATTGCACTGATACCCGCTGCAGACCGCAAGGGCAGTACATGCAGTGCGGGAAACTGTCACAGAATGTTCTAGTGTGAACAGCCCTAAAGGAGCCCCTAGTGTAAAAAAATCACATCATAGAAGCATTTTGGTGTCTTTATTGTTCACATCAATGGACCTGCTTAATGTGAATCTATTCCTAGGAAGGTCAGAGCAACAAGATTACAACACTTTAATCTCCTCCTCCCATGAAGCACACACCTTCCCTTTGCTCCACTGCCACTCTGTTGGGCTTCCGGGAACAGAAGTGCCCTATGTAAGCTATAGGTCACCTTAAAAGATAAGTTCGCCTTTTACAGGAAAAAAAAAATATTTTTTAATTTCAGATACTTACTGTATATAGTGCTGTCAATTTACGCAGCACTCTACATACATATATATATATATATATATATATATATATATATATATATATATATATAGTCAGGTCCATAAATAATGGGACATCAACACAATTCTAACATTTTTGGCTCTATACACCACCACAATGGATTTGAAATGAAACGAACAAGATGTGCTTTAATTGCAGACTGTCAGCTTTAATTTGAGGGTATTTACATCCAAATCAGGTGAACGGTGTAGGAATTACAACAGTTTGCATATGTGCCTCCCACTTGTTAAGGGCCATAAGTAATGGGACAATTGGCTTCTCAGCTGTTCCATGGCCAGGTGTGTGTTATTCCCTCATTATCCCAATTAAAATGAGCAGATAAAAGGTCCAGAGTTCATTTCAAGTGTGCTATTTGCATTTGGAATCTGTTGCTGTCAACTCTCAAGATGAGATCCAAAGAGCTGTCACTATCAGTGAAGCAAGCCATCATTAGGCTGAAAAAACAAAACAAACCCATCAGAGAGATAGCAAAAACATTAGGCGTGGCCAAAACAACTGTTTGGAACATTCTTAAAAAGAAGGAACGCACCGGTGAGCTCAGCAACACCAAAAGACCCGGAAGACCACGGAAAACAACTGTGGTGGATGAGCGAAGAATTCTTTCCCTGGTGAAGAAAACACCCTTCACAACAGTTGGCCAGATCAAGAACACTCTCCAGGAGGTAGGTGTATGTGTGTCAAAGTCAACAATCAAGAGAAGACTTCACCAGAGTGAATACAGAGGGTTTCCCCACAAGATGGAAACCATTGGTGAGCCTCAAAAACAGGAAGGCCAGATTAGAGTTTGCCAAACGACATCTAAAAAGCCTTCACAGTTCTGGAACAACATCCTATGGACAGATGAGACCGAGATCAACTTGTACCAGAGTGATGGGAAGAGAAGAGTATGGAGAAGGAAAGGAACTGCTCATGATCCTAAGCATACCACCTCATCAGTGAAGCATGGTGGTGGTAGTGTCATGGCGTGGGCATGTATGGCTGCCAATGGAACTGCTTCTCTTGTATTTATTGATGATGTGACTGCTGACAAAAGCAGCAGGATGAATCCTGAAGTGTTTCGGGCAATATTATCTGCTCATATTCAGCCAAATGCTTCGCAACTCATTGGACGAAGCTTCACAGTGCAGATGGACAATGACCCAAAGCAGACTGCAAAAGCAACCAAAGAGTTTTTTAAGGGAAAGAAGTGGAATGTAATGCAATGGCCAAGTCCATCACCTGACCTGAATCCGATTGAGCATGCATTTCACTTGCTGAAGACAAAACTGAAGGGAAAATGCCCCAAGAACAAGCAGGAACTGAAGACAGTTGCAGTAGAGGCCTGGCAGAGCATCACCAGGGATGAAACTCAACATCTGGTGATGTCTATGCGTTCCAGACTTCAGGCTGTAATTGATTGCAAAGCATTTGCAACCAAGTATTAAAAAGTGAAAGTTTGATTTATGATTATTATTCTGTCCCATTACTTTTGGTCTCTTAACAAGTGGGAGGCACATATGCAAACTGTTGTAATTCCTACACCGTTCACCTGATTTGGATGTAAATACCCTCAAATTAAAGCTGACAGTCTGCAGTTAAAGCACATTTTGTTTGTTTCATTTCAAATCCATTGTGGTGGTGTATAGAGCCAAAAATGTTAGAATTGTGTCCATGTCCCAATATTTATGGACCTGACTGTATATATAGTACATTCACATCAGTCCCTCAATGGCCATACAATCTAAGGTCCCTAACTCACATCCATACATACACATACTAGGGCCATACTAGCATGTCTTTGGAGTGTGGGAGGACACTGGAGTACCCGGAGGAAACCCACACAGGCACAGGGAGAACATGCAGACTCCAGGCAGGAGATGCCATGGCTGGGATTCGCACCAATGACCCTAGTACTGCCAGGTGGAAGTACTAACCATTCTTTTTCCCTAGGGAGCCTGGCAAGCATTACACCTGTGATCCATGAATCAGGAGTGCAATCTCCGGTTTCTGCAGACAAGCCTTGAGCTTGTGTACAGACAGCTCAGCAACCCTTTGCAGTCCATTTAGAACTGCAAGCTGTCAGCCGCAATGCAGACGGTACTTGTAGTTTATGCATTCACTGTGAATGAATGATGCGGCCCTGTGGGTGGAGCCCTGCACAGCCACAATGCTTTTGAATTGTGACAGTGGGTGTGGGGAGAGGATCCCCCACCTGCTGTAACAATGAGGGGGTGATCAGGGGAAGTGGCTGCCGGAGCTGGAACATGTCAAATGTTGAAAAAGTTGAACTTTTACATTATAGGTTACATAGGGCTATGGTCAGGGCCAGGACAAGGCATGGGGAGAGAAGTGACTGCCCTGGGTGTGGTGGTATCATGTGAAGTGTGGGGGCAGGGCGGCGGGTGTGTGCACCACATAGAGAGTTTCTACCTATAAGCTGACAAGAGTAGTGATGACAGCTTCACTACTTCTCTCAGCTTATCCCTGGAGGAGACGAGCCAGATCTGGAGAAGAGGAGAGAGCCGGGAGGACATGCAGGTTGTGCGCTCTTCCCCCCTCCAGCTCCTCCTCCTGCCACTGCAACTCTCTTGGATCGGGACTGCCAGATCACCACTGTGCAGTGTTTGTTTACTCGCCCCTATCTCTTTTTCGCTGCCACATTTGATGCCTTGGGCACTAAATGGCCTTGATCTGGCACTGGCTATGAGCTTTCTCTATATGGCAGTGTTGATGATTGGCCCAGCACTGTCACATGAGTGAAAAGCATAAATGGCCAGCCCACCGTGGATCATCAAAAAAGCATCCAAAAATGTATTAAAGCGATCATATCCCAGCAAACAATTGTGACGTGCTGTAATGTGATCACTTTCATACAGTTTTGGATGCTATTTTGATGATCCACGGAGTGCTGGCCATATATGATTTATCCTTGTGTTGATATTGGGTCCAGCTGGTACTTACGATAGCACCTACCTGTTATAAGCCATTTCCAGGAATGTGTGTGATGGGAATATTTTACTGGTGTCATATGGGATGAGGCACATGCACCTATATAGCCAGAAGTACCTGGTACTTTCTTTGCTCTCTGTGGCTAAATGGAGTGGTTGGGGAGCAAAAAAAAGGTGAGTTTGTACTGTTGAGGAGATTAAAGCAGAACTCCAGGGATGATATTTTATTTATTTATTA